TTTTTTTTATATGCCAAAACTGATAAAGGGCAGTTCATTTGGAGTACTTTTTGACTTATTGAAAGTCTGTTCTCGAGATTCCTATTACTTCTTAGTGTAAAAAGTGATATTTGGGATTTGTTGATTGTGGGGATGAAGAGGAAAGATGGATTGGTAGAGAGGGTAGGGGATGATTATTATGGATTGCATATCAGTTTTATATGTACTGAATTATAGGTCACATATTCTAAATATGTGAAATTCCAATGATTTAATATGTTAGGTTTGTGACAAAACTTGACAGAGCATGTAAGTTTTTTGCCTTAGTAGTTTTTGGCATGTTCTGGATGGTTATGATTACTACAGAGCTGAAATGTTATATTAATAAGGAGTTCTTATATTATTATGATACCTCCCCAGTTTCTATGAAAAGAAATTTTTTTCTGGGTTCTTTGTCAGATTTCTTTAGCTCTCTCTCTTAATTGCAGTAATTTCATTTTAGACTAAATTAGCATTATTACATATGTATAGAAGTTAAGAAATTTAAAAATAATGAAGTATCATAATTTTTTAGTTTATCAAAATAATTCTGAGATACATTTTGTTATAGCCAAAACAAGATATTCTTTAATCTAATGAAAAATCATGGATGGCACTCTATTTAGAATTCTAGAAAGCTTCAGTGAGAAGGTTGGATATTTAAAGAATATTTTAAGCCTTACATTTTCTTATTCTCCAACTAAAGTTGGGTGATTATAGATACCATTTCAAGTATCTTAGAGTATTCTGAAATCTGTGTCTACTGTTAACAACAGTGAACACTGGTGATTTGATTCTAGAATTTTACTACTTAAAAAAGAGGAGAGAGAGGAACCTAAACACAGAAGGAAGAGACCTGAGGGGGAAGAGGCCAGGAGGAGATGGAAGAAGGGGGTTGGGAAGGTTGTTGATCTGAGGAAGAGAAAAGAGAAAAAGTGAGAAGCTATAGCAAGTGTATCTAAATGTTAAGTATGTGCAAAACCTAACATAGAGATGATACTAGCTTATCTTCATCTCTAATTTTGGGAGGAAAGGAATTTTGAGAGGATAATACTCTATAAACTTTCATTGCTCTCTTATGACATATTTTCTGCTGTTTTTGTAGCACAATCTTTAGTTTTTGTCATATTTGTGAAGTGGAAATAACATATGGAGCACTGTGTGATCTCTTGATGTTTGTAAATTTAGCATGGAAGTTCTGTAGCACTGAAACATGTCATGTGGGATGGCTGAACTAGAAATCAAAACAGGAAATAGAATTTTAGAATGTGCTTATACATAATGCTTTGTTGGCTTTTGTATTCTGATGAATTTCTTACTTTGTTTACTACCTTGAATTTTTTTTTTTTCTGAGGGTTGAGAAATTTACATTACTTATAAACTTAAAGACAGGTTTGAACAGCTGATGTATGGCATATTTTAAGATAGATATCAGATTTTTTTCTGGTAAATCTGTTTTTATGAGATGGTTGTTATAAGAAATTGGACTA